AACCTTCGATTTACGTCGGTGGATCTCTTGTGTGTTTCATAGCTAGATTTCGTCAATGATTGGCTTCTCTATCGAATTGGAATTTTGGCCGCTCGTGTTCTTAATCATCTCCCAGGTAGAAGATACGTTTCTCTCCCCTTTTTTTTCCCCTTGATTTGGGTAGCAAATAACCTTCGCCAATTTTCAATTTCTGATTTCGTGTGAAATTGGATGATTTTATTGACTAGTGTTTTGCTTGTTAGATTTACAGGAAGCTCTTAAAATTGGTTTGTGTTCATATGTAACAATGTTTTTTTAAATTGGTATGATATCGATAAAACAGTGAATTATGGATGAAGGCTCAGTTGGGGATGTGAGTAGGATTGATGATGCTCCTCACCTTCAATTCAAAAATGGTGAGCATCTTCTTAAACCGGACAACTGTGAAACTCGGGAAATCAAAGAAGTGCAGGTTCAGAGGGAGGCCGGTTCTCCTGATAGCTCGTTTGGTGTTATAGCGGAGTTTTTAGATGGTAAGAATGCGAATGTTGTGGATCGAACAGAAGATGCGCCGTGTTCTAGTCGGCAGGAGGAAACGAATGATGCTGGAGACGTGGTTGAGGAGTTGACTGTTAAAACTTGTGACGGATCGAGCATGGCTATAGTTGGTAGATCGAGTAATAGAGCTAGATTAGAGATTAATCGCAGTCAGCTTCGGGATCGCTTTCCGCTAGATGGTGATTCACCTAGTAGCAGTTTGATGAGTAAGAGGGGAGGTGATAGCGGAACGCCAAGTATCTGGAGGAATGCAGGAAAAATGTCTCTGCCTGAGACTTCAGCTGGAGAACCGGCCATTCCTGTTAACGGTGAAGCTAATGAACATGTGACAAATGTTGAACGGAATCCTGTACCAGTAGAGGCGTTGCCCTATGAAGGCATCAAGACAAAGATCTTATCGCAGTCTGGGTTCTCTCAGTTTTTTGTTAGAAAAACATTGAAAGGAAAAGGAGTCACATTCAAAGGCCCGCCGCACAATAGACCTATAGCTGCCAATATGGATCTTCAAACTGTAACGAGTTCTGGTAGCCTTTTAGTAAAATCTAATACTTCAGCAGAGGTTTCTAGCAGCATCCCTTTGGCGGCTTATGATGTTTTGCCGTGCTTGCCTTCCAAAGCCAGTAACCCATCTTCTACTGCTAACCCTTCAGGTATACATAGAGGTTGTGGAGGTGAAGGTTTAAGTCTGAGAGAATGGTTGAAGTCAGAGCGTGAGAAAGTTAATAAAGCAGAATGTTTGTATATCTTTAGGCAGATCGTGGAACATGTGGATTGTTCTCATTCTCAAGGAGTTGTCTTATGTGACCTACGGCCATCGTTATTCGAAATTCTCAAGGAGAATGTGGTCAAGTTTGTGGGTTCAGGTTTTCAGCGAGAGTCTTCTGACAGCAACATGAACAAAGATAGTATAAGTCAACTTGGAAACCCTCTGGTTAGAAGGCGGTCAGGAGATACAGGATTTCCTTCTAATCCATTTTTCCCTGCAAAGAAGCAGAAATCAAATGAACTTCCAAGCTCTAGACAGTGGCCAATGTTTCAACGAGCAGGTGGCGTCAATATCCAAACTGAAAATGATAATGACGCAACACAGGAGCTTCATTTCAGATCTTTTCAAACTCGATCTTCTACAGCTGCCCGTCCTTTTACTACAATGAGTGAGCAGTTGGAAGAGAAATGGTATTCGAGCCCTGAGGAGCTCAGGGGAGACACTCGTTCGATCGCTTCAAACATTTATAGTTTGGGTATTCTTCTATTTGAGGTATGGAGAAACTTCTATTAATTGCACATTTGGCATGACATCTTTATTTTAGCTTTTGACCTGCAATTGTAATTATGTACATCAATGAGTTGAAATGTGTAACCACCACATAGCATCTTACCGTTCATACCAATATATGTTTTCCGATGGGATAACGTCTTCAACTAATGTAGCTTTGTATAGACTGGGCCATAGCGTGTGTGGGTCATGTTTTGCTTTTCTGAATCTTACACTTTATATTAATCGTGAAAGTTTTGTACTCATGTTAACACCTCTAGTTTGCTTTGATTTATGCTGATAGACAATGTGCATAATTATGAACCATCATATTGATTTAGATAGTGTTGCATGTTCGTTAATGTTCTGCTACCAGTGAAGTTTCTAGTTGGCATTACAGTTGACTGATTGGGTCTTAGGTCTTAGGCAAATAGATCATTCTCATTGATATTCTAATTTGGGGTTTTCTGTCAGCTGCTTAGTCAATTTCAAAGTGAAAGAGCTCGTGAAACTGCAATGTCTGATATCCGACATCGAATACTTCCTCCCAAATTTCTGTCGGAGAATCCAAAGGAAGCTGGGTTTGGTCTATGGCTGCTTCATCCAGATCCTGCATGCCGACCGTCAACCAGGCAATTCAAACTCTTTAGCTACAATTATTTTCAAGTGAAAAATCACATGTTATCAAACACTTTAGCTATAAGGGATATAGGAAAGAGGCTTTTGTTATATTATTTATTACACAGGAAATGTAAAAATGCACCAAATGTAGAGGTTTTGTTATCCTGGCTTAAACACAGGGACATTGTCTCGTCAACAGTTTCAGATAGGATTATTAGGCTCTACTCTGAAAAATATGGTCTTTTTACAATTTTACTAAACTAGCTCCCCTTAGGTGCTGTGCTGATAGGATCCTTTCTTTCATGTTTCATTAATCGAGATTGTGAGTTGGCTTAATCTCTAAATATGTTTGTAAGTTCGATGTTGTGCTGTACAGGGACATCTTGCAATCTGAAGTGGTTAATGGAATCCCAGATTTGTATGCTGAAGACTTATCTTTATCTATTGAACAAGAGGATACAGAGTCTGAACTGTTGCAGCATTTCCTGATTTTGTCCCAAGAGCAAAGGCAGAAGCATGCTGGAAAGTTGATGGAAGAAATTGTGTCCTTAGAAGCAGATATCGAAGAGATTGTCAGAAGACGATATTCCATAAGGCCTCTGTCTGTGGAAGAAGCTTCTAGCTCATCGCCTTCTTCAAGTGTACCTGAAATGAGACTGATCAGAAACATTAATCAGCTTGAAACCGCTTATTTTGCAGCAAGGATTGATGCCCATCTCCCTGAAGCACGTTATAGGTTACGCCCGGATAGAGATCTGCTTAAAAGTCGTGATAATGTTATATCAGAATCAGAGAATAGCGAAACTTGGAGCTCAGATGATCGTGTTGGAGTATTCTTTGATGGGTTATGCAAATATGCTCGATATAGCAAGTTTGAAACTAGGGGTGTCCTGAGGACCGGAGAGTTGAACAGCACTTCAAATGTGATTTGTTCTCTGGGTTTTGATCGGGATGAGGACTATTTTGCTACAGCTGGTGTGTCAAAGAAAATTAAGATATTCGAGTTCAATTCCCTATTCAATGAATCTGTTGACATTCATTATCCAGCGGTAGAAATGCCAAATAGATCAAAGCTTAGCGGCGTTTGCTGGAACAACTATATCAGGAACTACCTAGCTTCTTCTGATTATGATGGTATTGTCAAGGTATTTAAACCTTTAAAGTTTTATTTAGATTGGTTATCACTTGATTGTCGGTTTAACCTTCGGTCTAATAAATCAAATGTATTGTGATGGATCCAGTTATGGGATGTGACAACAGGACAGGCCATTTCACATTTCATAGAGCACGAGAAGAGGGCTTGGTCTGTTGACTTCTCTGAAGCTTGCCCGACAAAATTAGCCAGTGGAAGCGATGATTGTTCTGTAAAGCTATGGAACATCAATGAGGCATGTTCATCTTTACCTTTACATGCGTAGGCACATTATACTGGATTCTATCATTTAAATAGCTACTTCTAATGTGATACCCGGCATATATACAAATGAATAAATAGCACTTGGGGTTATTCTGTTAATGTTGCTCCGCTGTATTTTCAGCCTTGTAGCTAATACACAATCTTCTTGCATGAATGTGCAGAGGAACTGCTTAGGAACAATCAGGAACATTGCAAATGTTTGTTGTGTGCAATTTTCTCCACAGTCCTCTCATTTGCTAGCCTTTGGATCCTCAGATTTCAGAACCTACTGCTATGATCTACGGAATTTAAGAACTCCTTGGTGCATTCTGTCAGGGCACAACAAAGCAGTTAGCTACGCGAAATTCTTGGATAATGAAACTCTTGTCACAGCGTCAACTGATAACACATTAAAGCTTTGGGATCTTAAGAAAACCACTCACGGCGGCCTCTCCACAAATGCTTGCAGCTTAACTTTTGGTGGCCATACAAATGAGAAGGTAGCCAATGCTGGAACTTCAATTTTAAATTAACCTTTGTAATGTTTCTCTTTTTCTTTGTGGTTGATTTGTCATTTCCCTGCCTTTTTCAGAACTTTGTTGGTTTGTCTACTACTGATGGATATATAGCTTGTGGCTCCGAGACAAATGAGGTATGTCTCCACCAACTTTGGAACACATCGATATTCATTCAATAATTTGTGTTCCGAATCTCCCTTTCTATAAAAAAGCATTACTCAACTTAACTAATAGCTCCAGAGTTCTCTTTTTCCCTACGGAAAATTTTACAGTTCCATGTGAATTATGTCTCTCTCTTCGGAGTGGTGTGATTAATCCATTACAATTAGTGATAGTAAAATAACTGGTCCGGGGTCAACTGATGATAAACCGTGCTGAATAATTGTTCATGAATCAAAACAAATTTTCTATGTGATTGAGACAAATGGTGTTTTCTTGTGTGTTGTCTTTGCTCAGGTTTATGCCTATCACCGGTCTCTTCCTATGCCCATTACCTCGTACAAGTTTGGTTCCATTGATCCTATATCTGGTAAGGAGATTGAAGAAGACAACAACCTGTTTGTTTCGAGCGTTTGCTGGAGAAAAAGATCGAATATGGTTGTTGCAGCTAGCTCAAATGGGTCTATCAAAGTTCTACAGTTGGTTTGAAATCACATATATATACAGAAAAAAGCTGAGGTAATTATTCTTCACCTGAGGCCCCTCTTAGTTTATGGTAAAAACGAAAACCCATCAACGCAAGACTTGGACAAAACCAGTTCCTATCTCTGGGTTTGCGGAAAAGGTTGAGATAACAAACAAGCTCGCAACACATGATATGATCAAGAGTTCAATCTATCATGAGATTGTTTTATCTATTTTGTGCAAGATGTTTACTCGAAAGGGGTAAAGGAAGTAGAGAAAATAACTACACTCGGCTGAAATGTTGGATAGTAGTGGTTGATCAGCGTTTAGGGTTATACCGCGTTGATGGGTATACTTGAGGTTTTTTTTTTTGTTTGGCTCTTATAGTTATGAAACCAGATCATACTTTTCTCATGTAAATTTATCCCCCAAATAGACCATCATAGTTTTTGATGTATATATATAGTTTATATGAGCCTTTTATCATCATCGTATGGATGAATCGTTCTCCACCAAGAAAAGGTCTTTTTAACTCATCATCTTTTGGTTTTCTAAAAATA